CTTTTTAAGGTAAGATTGCTGTAGCATCCAGTGCTCCATTGACATCTTCGGTGCTATAGTTGAGTCCTTGACAGTCCGTGGACGTATGGCTAGCATCCTTCCTAGGCCTGAAAAGCCTACAGTATTCCTTGGGCAGCCCATGGGTTTTTTGTAATTACTGCAGTAACCCAAATCTGGAAACACTAATCTCTGCCCTTTAGTTCCCTGTTCTTTCTGCTCTGCCACATGTTGAAGTTGGGTGATATTTCAGATTCTTTATGATGAATGAAGTCACTCATGCATTTTCTGTTTTCCTTTATTACATGGGTGGTTGCTCTTTCTTCCTTTTTTCTACCCTGTATCAAATGCATGCAAGAGGATGAGCTGTGATGCAGTTCTCTTCCACCTCACGTGCTGCACCAACTTGTAGTCTCCCCTTGCCTCCTCCACCCCCTCCACATGCTCATGATTTGTTCTGCTGTTCATGCATCCCTGCTTTACATGGTGGGTTGACAGCTCAGAAATCTTCTTTCTCTCATCACTCAGGTTGAGGCACACTGAGGTGAAATCATAAAAGGTTTTGCATTGCCCTCCTGATGAAAGGCAGTTGCTTTCAGATTTGACCATCTGATGGTCTTCAGTCTTTAGATACTTAATGGTGGGCACTTGAATATGATACTTTTTCTGATAGTTCTGGTTTGTTGGTGATGTCTTTTATGCAGCACAAGAAAAAATGATAGCATATATGCTATACCAAATTTTTGTAGGAAATATCTGAGCTGCAGACCTTCTATCTTTTTAGTGCCCTTTTTAGGAAGGTGGTGCATTTAAGAGATCAGAGCAAGGGTTTATATAATGCCTAAAACAGAGACGCCGACTGGGGACTGCTGAATAGTCTCTGATACTCTTTTTAGAAAGCCAGTCTTTTGAAAACGTACCTGCATAGGTTTTCTGGCTCACACAGCTTTTATGAAAGTGTTCTGATCAGCTGCAGTCAGTGGTTGTTTATAGGAATAATTTTGCCTCTGCATTTTTTCATGAAGGGGAAGGAGGGATACGTTTGAGACTTACTATTGTGATTGCTAGAAATAATGCTTGGTTTAACATTTGTATTCAATGTGTAGCAGGATTAAATACGTGTCTCTTACCAAACTCTTAAGAATTCATTTGTCAGTGAAAAGTAGTACAATGTGTTTAAAACTTGTATATATTTGAGAATGTTATATACTGCATTTTACAACATAATCCTTTCTTTCCTACTTACTGTGGGAAACTAAGAATGTAAACTTGGGCAGACTGTGCATAATGAGGGTTACTGAGCCAAAATTACTGATGACAGTAAAAATACTAAGATATGGTACTTGGTTTTGATGCTATTTAGAGGATTGATGGACTGTGGTGGTTGGATGTATGATGTTTTAAAAGATTGATTGACTATGACAATTGGATATATGATGCTTAAATAAGTATTGTTCAATTTCTAATTTGAAAGTAAAATTAAAAAACCCCACCTGTTTACAGGTGTCGAATTGATGGTCTGTTATTGCTCTGTGGTATATATTTAAAATAAAAATCCTATGGCCTGACTGCTTTTTGTGAAGCCTCAGCTTCTGAACGCAACTGCGTGTTGGCATAATGTATGAATTTTCTGTAAATTTGCCCCTATTGCAATTAGAAATACAACTATTTGAACAGGGCAGCCTTTTAAATTTGGATATACGATTTCTAGTGACCTAGAAAGCTAAACCCTTTTGGAAGTTGTAATTTACTTGTTCCTAAAATTAAAGGAATGAAAAATGCTTCTTAGTGTATTAGTTCTGTTGAAGAAATAATAGTATGTTACTGGATAAGCATTATTCAGGTCTATCTTGAGTGACAGAGCAGATATCATGCTCTTAAAGTTTTGTAGCGCAATTATTAATGTGGTTCTTAAATATTAGATGAAAAAGTTACCTTTCTTGTTATTCAATTTAAAAGGAAAATATTGCTCGTTCGTATGGTATAAAATATTGCAGTGTTGAATAACTGGCCATACTAGTTCGTGTAAGAGATGAAATGGAATTAACCTTCCTTGTGGCTTCATCGTTTTTCAGAAGATGATGATACTTGATTCCTGTATTTTAGAAGACTAATTATTAGGAAAAGAGATACAATTAGGAGATACATTTCTGTGTGGATTATATTCTGACTCAATCAAAAAACCAGCCAACAACAATAAAAACAAAAAAAACACCAAACCAAAACAAAACAAAAACTACCCTAAAACCCTCTTAGTTTATCCTAATTGAGACAGTTGTGAGCCAGAAATAATACAACCAGTATGAATATAGTTTCGCTTTGACTGTGTAAGGTAAAGCAATATGAAACTGGGTTTTGTTTACTGTGTTGACAAGAAATGTGTGTATTCTTAACTTTCAGTAGCTCAGAGATCAGACCCAGTAATACAGTTATTAATGTAAATTACTTCAAAATATATACTGGAGCCTGTAAGTTTCTTGAAAACTTCTGTGTGAAGTGATAGGATTTGCAAGCTCTCTATTATTAGCTTTGATATGGGAACATCAGTCTTTGTAGCCCTGAACTGCCAACAACCTTTGTCCTTTATTTTACCTTCAGTTAAAAACAAAAATCAGACCCAGTAATACAGTTATTAATGTAAATTACTTCAAAATATATACTGGAGCCTGTAAGTTTCTTGAAAACTTCTGTGTGAAGTGATAGGATTTGCAAGCTCTCTATTATTAGCTTTGATATGGGAACATCAGTCTTTGTAGCCCTGAACTGCCAACAACCTTTGTCCTTTATTTTACCTTCAGTTAAAAACAAAAAAAAGGGGGGGGGGGTGTGGACACGGGTTGAAATAGGGAAGTAAATGAATGTTGGCTAATGGCCATGTCTTTTCTTAGAGCAAGGAAAAAAAAATCTTGAAAAGACAAATGAGTTTGTGGATCTGGATTTGTTTCATTACATGAATGATATGTGGTGTTTTGTAAATTATTTATTAGAGCAAGCCGTTCTGAAATGGCTAAAGCATTGTTATATCAAAGGGAAGGAGAATAGTGTGGTTGCCAAGAGGAGATTTTTACTGAATTCCACTAAAAGAATAATCTTTCTTTTAAAATTATCTGTATTAAACTTTAAGTAGCAGTTAGGAAATGTCTACAAGATGCTGCAACTGAACAGTTGTGTTTGGATAGCTGTGCATCATTTTTCTGCTGATGATGATTGTATAGTTTATGTATTTTTTTTTTGGTTAGTATCATTTTGCTCCAAAATGGAAGTCTGTTTAAAAGTATAATGATGGGACAGATCTGTTGAATGATGGTATCTTACTGGCAAGAATAGTAACAAACTCACTTTCTTTTATTTGTGTATGCATTGTTTTTAACTTGCAAGTGGAAAAATTCTGCAGGTAATTGGTATATCTTTTCTTACGTATAGAATGACTTATCTCATTCAGTGCCATTCTGTCAAAACTGACAAAGAATATAAACAAAATCTTTAAGCATGACTAAATTGGAAATCTGCCAGTTTTAAAATTTCAACAATTATTTTTATTCAGGTAGCAATCTAATATTTCAGTGATCCATATAGTCGATAATGAAGGTCTTAGTAAGACTAAGGACCACAGACGGTGTTTGTTCCTAGTAGTTATAAGAAGGTAATATTGCAGTTCCCTTTTGTAGTTTATGGAAGAGAATAGACATCTCCATACTTTAGAAAAGTCTTCGTCTCTGGTCATCTTCTGTGTATATAGGGACTTTTTACAAGGACGTGTAGTGATAGGACAAGGGGCAATGGCTTTAAACTGAAATAGGGTAGATTCAGATTAGATATAAGGAAGAAACTTTTCACTCTGAGGGTGGTGAGGCACTGGAACAGGTTGCCCAGAGAAGTTGTAGATGCCCCATCCCTGGAAGTGTTCAAGGCCAGGTTGGATGAGGATTTGGGCAACCTGGTGTAGTGGAAGGTTTCCCTGCCCATGGCAGGGGGTTTGGAACTAGATGATCTTTGAGGTCCCTTCCAACTCTAACCATTCTATGATTCTGTTCTTTGGGGTATACAAGTATTTCAGTAGATTAGATTGTGAAAAGATGAACAGTGAGCAGACCTTCTGAGGACTAAGCTTTCAGAAAAAGTACCATGCTTCAGAGAACGCTTATATGGAAGTTGTTGTAGGCTAGGGTAGCAATATATGTGTTACCCAACAATAAACTAAAACTCTAAAACGAGTCTTGGAAAGTTCAGTTTCCTTTTCAGGTATCATATGTGCGCCTCTTGGCTGGGTAGGACAACCTTACCTTGCTAGTGTCAGTATTGTTTGGAATCTGCTGCTTGATTTAAGATGATCCTAAAGCTTAATAACATAAACCTAGTTTCAATACTTCTGTATTATGTTGTGTTGAGGTATAAGGGCATGTCTGCACAGAACTGTAGGTGGTATATAGTAGCTGATGGAATTCATCAGGCTAATGGATAACTGTCGATCTGTTGAATCCAGTGGTTTTTACCCTAAAATAGTCGTTTGAGGGAGATGAGTTGTATTGGATGGAAAAAGTAATAGAGTAAATCTTAAATTTGAAAGTTTTTGTGAAACTTACTGTTTTTGTTGCGGCAAGGAACTATATTCATCTGTAGTAAGGGCCAGTTTGCATCTTAACCCTTGAGCACTATTACATTTGAAGAACAGGTGGTTATGTTCTGGTGCTGAAATTGAATCTTCAAGAACAGCGTCCTCAGTTCTAACTTTATCTTCTTTTTGTTGACACTAGTCTTGTATTAGGGAGGTTTACATAGATTAGTAGACAAGGTTGCTTATTATGGGCCAATTTAACATTTATGAAATATGTTAAGATAATAAATTTTGTTATTCCAAAGTTAGTAAAATGGATGTTTGTCTTGATAATTAATGTGGTACAACAAAATGTAAGGTAAAAGTGAAAGAAAAGACTGCTGAGAAAGATGCTGCTTTCCCACTCCCCCACCCTCAACTAAATCTCTCTGTTTATTTTTAAATCTAGCCACGAGCTGATCCCATCCCGATATGTAGCTTTTGTTTGGGAACGAAAGAATCAAATCGTGAAAAAAAACCAGAAGAGCTGTTGTCTTGTGCAGACTGTGGCAGCAGCGGTAAGTTGGCTGAACTTTGAAATACTAGAAATGTTTATGTTCAAGTCTGATTTTAAGTATTAAAATTATTTTAAACTTCTGAATGTCATCCTCTCTTTGGACATAGATTGAGTACTGAAACAAAGGAGGGGTGGAAGAGACTTTTTTTTAAACTAAAATCTTGTCACTGGATAACTACAAATAAGAGGGTTTTAATTAATCTTTGTGCCAAAAGTGTAGATCTGCTAAGTAAATTAATAGGGAAACCACACTTTTAAATACAGGAATTCTGTTATTGTTTGGGATCTATGTTTGATCTGAAAACTCGTTTTGCATTGTGACAGCAAATGATCAAGAATTTTGCTTGCACAGATTTGCAACATTTAAGAAGCCGAGGAATAATCATGATAATAAAGACTGTGTAGCAGTCTTTGCTGTTGCGTATCTCGTGTATTCGATTCATTTTTTTTAAATAAGATTCTTTCATTGCTCAAGTGGGAATTTGAATAATATTTCAAATAACATACTAAAGCTGTTAGGCACCTGGTACTTGTCAGGCACAAGATAGTGACACTCTACAGATCATACGTACCTTGCTTCTGTGTGTTGCAGCAGTTCTTACAGATTCCCTGTGGCTGCTCTGAATGCAGGTGCTTCCCCTAGGTTAATTTTGAAATGCAATACTGGAACACACTGTTGCTTTTTGCAGTGCGTGGTACCAAATGTGTTCTTGACCTAGGTTGTTCCTGATTCACAGAGAGATTTGGCTAAGAAAGCTGGGCAAATCTCTTCACCAACTCTGCCATAAAGCTTTTTTGTGGCGCAGCTGTAGAGTTCTGGATGTGAAAATTGTCTGATCAGTTTAGCTATTCGAGAAAATCCCCCATGGAAAGTAGGTTTATGCAGGAAGAGGAGTTATTTGGCCGGTATAGTTTGTCAGTTGAGTGGACTGCTGTTGTTTACCAGTTCCAGTAAAAAAACTTTTCTCCCGTAAGCTTACAGTTGCATTGGGAAGTACTTTTTGTAAAGCTTTGCAGTGTAGACCATCCCATCCCAGCTCAAAGATGAAAAGCAGTGCTGCTTAGTCCCAGGCTGCATCATCTAACTGCTTGGTGGTACCCCTGTTCTGGCACTTGGTTGTATATAAACAGGGTTGAGGAACAAACGTAGATGAAAGACAACACAATCTGTTACAGTTTGCTCACTTCCCCAGTCCAGTTCACTGCACAGTCATACCAACTTCTATGCCAGAATGAAGAAGAGGAGAGTGCTTGTGAGGGAAATGAGTATAGAAGTGGAAGGGTTTGTGTAAGCCAGCACTGCTTTTGAGAAAGCTGGAAGTGAAGGTATTGTTTTGGTGTCTTTGAGTTCAGAGTTCATGTCCATCATCATTTTGTAGGTGTGTTGAAGATAGTCTGTCTTGGGTACTGTGACAGCTCTGTAAGTACTTTAGTAAAACAAAACCATGGATCAGAAATGTGTTTCCAGTTAATCAGAATATGCTTTTGATTGTGCGCTTCTGAATCTTTCACCCTGGACAGATTCTTTGTATTTTAGCCAGTGTATTTTTTTAGTGTATTGAAGCAAATGATAGAACAGTGAAGTAAGGTGGTGGCATTTTCACCCCCGTATGCAAAACCAAACCCCACACCCCACAGATTTTAAACTGTCTTGCTTTTAATGGTTAAAGATTTCCCATATCTTCAAGTATGTATTCTAATATTTGGAAATTTATTAGGATTTGTGCTTGGTTAGACTCTGGTACAGAGTTTACATTAATCAGGTGAGCTTAGATAAATCTATTCTTCCGTTGTGTAATAATCCCCTGATAGGTCTAAGACGCTTTGGAACTGGAAGTCTTGACTTTCATGGATCAGCTTCCATTTGAATTAACACTGATACATTCTCTCTGCCTCATTAAGACTAAATTATCTTTAATTAGTTCCTCAGATGTGTTAGATACAAAGAATGAAACATTGAGACTGCCAGTCAGGTTGCAGGATGGTTAAACTTTAGCTACTGATGCCTAACTGAAATAAAACCCAATCTCATTGCAGTTTATAAATAACAAAACTTCACTCAAGTGGAGGTTTATTGTAATTGGATTTGTAATTTTGCACATTGCAGTGTATTTCAAAGCTGCTCTTGCTGTCTAAGAAATATAAAAGAAATTGCATGTTGTGCACAGCAAGCAGATTGTTCAGTTGATCAGAGATTAAATTGCAGTGCCCACTACTGGCATGTCTGTTTTCTTTTATGGTTTTGCGTCAGTTGCTTGTGTCTTTTCAGGTAGCGCTTCTGTGTTCTGAAAGGAGAAACTATCTGGATATCTGCACATTTTTACTCTTATTTTGTGGTATTTGGAAGGATAATGTGTTTGGGCAGTGGAAATGAAATGCACTGCTATGTCACTTTGCACAGGGCATTTTCTAAAGGAGTAAATGAGGGATGTCAGATGTGAGAAGACAAATTCTATTATAAAAGCAAACATTGTTCCTCTTCCCTTACCTGCTCCCCCACCCTTTTTTCCCTATCTTCTGATTTTGAAAAATCTATAAACTTGAGAACTAGAATTGAATTGTACTTCTGTTTTCCCCGAGAGGTGCAGAAGCAATTAAAGAGCTGCTGCTGACAGATTTTAAAAGGGAGTTGAAGTTTTAGGAAGAGGAGAAAAAAAAAGTTGAGTTACTGTGGCACTATAATAAATATTTTGAAAAGGGAAGAAAAAATTATCTGAAGTACAACACCTGTGAGTACTGTCCTTTCAAATAAATAGTATGTTAAGCTGAGAAGGCAGGAGGGTTACTGATCAAAGATGGGTTAGGAGAGGCTGGAGAGCAGAACAACAAAGACATCAGAGTCAGGTCAAGAGGAATAGGGACAGAAAACATTTGGAAATGACTGTGCAGAGATTGTGATTGTTTTATAAAGGAGATGTAGGATATGTTTTAAGAGTAAGGGAATATAGGAATTGTCTTGATTTTATTTTTTTTATTCTTTTTTGTCTGTGGGAAGATGTTGGCTGGTTGGATAGAATGAACTGCTAAGAAATCCACTACATGCCCGAGATAGGTGCATTGATCTTTTCCGCTCATAGCTAAAGTCATCCTAAATAGTAATGCTTTCTACCTAAAAGGTTGTCAAACACAAGGGTGTGGGTTTTTTTTTTTTTGTGAATTATCTTATACTTTAATTCCAAAGTTAAAAATAACTGAAGATATTAGCATATTTAGTTTAGCACTGTACATAATTATCACTGATATAATGCTTGTTCTTTTGAAAGATGAGTTCTTTTGTCAAATCCTTTGAAGAATATACAAGATCCAAACTTGCAATAAGGAAACAAAAGTGTGCAGGTTAAAGAAGTTGACTTCATTCACAAATGAGTGAGATGTTCTATTTTAGCTTCCTGATCTCACCTATTTCTGCCACATCAACATATCACAAATCTTAACCTTTTCTAAATGGGAGAGATAATGAGTTTTAAAGCGTTCAATTTTTAACGGTTTTATTTTAAAGTAAGCCTGTATATATTCCTGGTGGAAACTGCCAGCATTCGAAAGTCTGAATTTGCAGTAGTCTGTCGAAGCTGTGTGGTATGTTAAAATATTGATGCTGCTTAGGTTTAAAAGAAAGTCAAGTGATTGAACCAAGAGAAATTACCATCTGAAACACTTCAAACTAGAGATTGATCGAGTGTTGAAAACCTCATGGCAGATTTATCAACTTCTGGATGTGGAGAAGATAGTATGTTCTCCATTTTAGTTTAGATGAGTTAAAGCTGAAATACTCTAAATTTTGAAGCCAAAACATGCTTTCCCTCCAACTCTTCCAAATCTAAAGAAACTAGCTGTAAAATCACTGAGGGTCACAGTGACCCAATTTATTTGACTACAGAAATTTGTTAAACTACAGAAGTAGTTAAACAGAGTCCCTTTTAATAGTGAAACCTGTGTTGATTACCACTTCATGTCTGGTAGGCATGTTGTTGCAGTATGTCAATTCGTGTCCAAAATGAAGAGTGTAAAAGAAAAAGAACATGACAAATGTGTAGTGATGATTTGTCATTTGCACTCTTCCAGCCTCTGGTTATTTGTGACTCAAGGACTTGGAGTCACAGGCATACTCTTCATATTTAATATCAATGAATTCTTTTTTGTTTTTTCCTTGAGTTTTTGTCTGATAGTAAAATCTGACACTTAAGGGTATTAACATATGTATATATGAAGCTGTGTAATTGCTTGAATGAGAAATGTTATGTTGGTAGATAACAGAGAAATCAAGTAACCCAAGTGCATGCTCACTTTTAACCACAAAAACTTGTTAATGTATCTTAAACTATATATTAAGAATGAAATGGCAATGCTTTTCAAATATTTTTGGTTTTGAAACTACTCTTTGGATTTATTATTGGTTGTTCTTTACCAATATATTATATTCCTGTGTTTTATTTTGCAAATATAGTATATTTACACAATTTGTCTTTTAAAGTTTAACAAAAAGTGGATTAAGCTTTGGGTACGTACAACAAAAGGAAATAAAATCTGAAATTTGCACTTGCTGAAGTGGCTTTTGCATTCCACCAGTCATCTTTGCCATTTATGTCTCAATGTATGTATGAAGCTGTGTAATTGCTTGAATGAGAAATGTTATGTTGGTAGATAACAGAGAAATCAAATAACCCTGTTACACCTAATCTGTGCATAGTCACCAAAGAGTGAGAATGGACGTTTCTTATATTTATGCTTCTCAGTTATTTACTTAAGGCAGAGTTAAAACCAGCAATTTAAACCACAACTTAGTTCCTCCTTGAAGTAAATCATTTCTGTGCAGGGTAGATAACTGGAATTAAATGTACTTATGTGGAGGTAATTGGTTTATGATTACACTTTAATGCGTTAATATAGTTGTTAAGTCATGGTTGATGAAATAGGTCGTTCTGGTGATATTGATTATTAATGTCAGCCACTCTAGGGAGCTTTTTTCTCACTTCTTAGCAGATTTTTTTAAATGAAGCACTTGTTAAGCTTTATTGAAGGGAGCAGTGTAACATTGAACTCAACTATGCAGTTACAGAGTATGTTTGTCACTTTCAAGAAAAATAGTCACCTTTAAGTGCATGCTCACTTTTAACCACAAAAACTTGTTAATGTATCTTAAACTATATGTTAAGAATGAAATGGCAATGCTTTTCAAATATTTTTGGTTTTGAAACTACTCTTTGGATTTATTATTGGTTGTTCTTTACCAATATATTATATTCCTGTGTTTTATTTTGCAAATATAGTATATTTACACAATTTGTCTTTTAAAGTTTAACAAAAAGTGGATTAAGCTTTGGGTACGTACAACAAAAGGAAATAAAATCTGAAATTTGCACTTGCTGAAGTGGCTTTTGCATTCCACCTGTCGTCTTTGCCATTTGTGTCTCGGTCTGTTAGACGATGAAAATAGCAAATGTTCCTGGATTAGCCTGTGTTCTTGTTTATGGTGGTTTAGCTCAGTCTTTGACTGAGAAACAGCGGATGGAGAAAGTCTGAATCTCCATGACTAGACCATTAACCTTGAAGAAAGCATGCATCCTGGCTCTAACAGTGAGAAGAAAGCATCCTTCATGTGCATCACATAAATGCAGCCATCTATAAGTGCAGCATGGCATCAGGGACTCTTATATCTGACAACTGGTGTGTTGATGTTATTGATAATCTCTGAATGTAAAACTGGCAAACAGGAAGGCTTATCCCTTCCTATTTAGCAATGCTTTATATTTTCTGGATTAGGGGTACACTCTATTGAGGATGTTGAAGATGTAGAAAATCGCTGCCAGTATTGACTAAGGTGTTGTATGTGTTCAGTTGTCTGATATGTTACATTAATTGGAAAAGCCATGTAGGCCTTCTAGGCTACCATGAAAAGACGATGGTCCCACCAGGGAATAAAATATAGTTTCATGGAAGGCGGTAGTTCAGCTCCTCTTTCTCCCTACTGGCATTTTAAATCTTCCTTTGCAGTGAGCTTTTCTTATGCCAATTGCTGCCTTCATTTTTTTCCTTTTACTGCTCTGAAATCCTTTTTTGTCCATAACTAAGTAATAAATTAAGATGAAAAATGCATAGTTTTGATTAAGTTTTTCTGGTAATACTTGGTATATTTAGAAAAATAACTATTATAGTTTTATCTAAATGTTTCCTCTGTTAATGTTGCACTGCTACAAGTGAGTAGTGGGGTCAAGTTTGTAAAAATACTTTTTTTCAGAACCAGTGGCAGTTTAATATGCTACGGAAATAACCTAGTGAAAACAAAAAATTTCAGGTGCTTGTGTAGACCATTCACAGGTGTCAGTTACAGTAGAAGTCAACTTTCTACCTCTCTTCATAAATTAGTTTTATGGAGGTTATTCTGTATCTTTATGTGAAGTAGACAAGTTAAATAATGTATTGCAAAGTTCTGAAAACAGCTGGTGCTTGCAGAGTTCTGGTGGTGCTGGCTACACCTTGTTGAACTTAAGAATCAGTCTTATGAGTCTTCAATCTGAAGCTTTAAATATTTTGGTTTTTTTAGGACATCCATCATGTTTGAAATTCTGTCCTGAGTTAACAACAAATGTGAAGGCCTTAAGATGGCAGTGTATTGAATGCAAGACATGCAGTGCATGTAGGATCCAAGGCAAAAATGCAGTAAGTTAGACTGTTGAGTGTTTTCTGACTTTTCTTTGTTTACTATAGCTTTACACTTAGCACATATGCAAATGCAAATCACTGATGTACAACTTCAAGCAATACTGTATTAAGTCTTTTTTTTCCTCTTCCTCCTCACACCCTTCCTGCCCCTCCTTCAGGATAACATGCTTTTTTGCGACTCCTGTGATAGAGGGTTCCACATGGAGTGCTGTGACCCACCACTTTCCCGAATGCCAAAAGGTGATACTAAAAATCCTTTCAATGAAAATACTTTCATTCGTGATCTTTTCTTCTATTAAGTGATCAAAAGCTCCTGAGCATGCTAATTATTTTTGCATTGGTAAACAGTGTTGATTTCAATCATGTCAAAGCCAATACTTTGTTTTTCTTTACTTGAGGGTTTTTTTTTCTCAGGAAAACGGTAAATGTCTGTAGTCAGTTGGCCAGATGAATTCACTGTATATTGAGTTGCTGGCCAGTTTATTGAAGGTGAAGTTTTACAAAGGTTGTCGAAATGTTGGGAGTATATACACTGGAAAAAAAAAAAAAATCCTTAGAGCTGGTGAAAGAGCCTACTTCTTCAAGCTTTTTGTAAGAGTAATTTAAAAAACAGACAAAACACCTGTGTCTTCAGGTTCTCTACTCTACAGATTTCTGATATGTAGCACCTCTCATTTCTGCTCTTATATCTTTATGGCTTTCCCTGTTTAATCTTAAAGTTACACTAAAGACTTTTTCCAGCTTTTCTTTTTCCCCAAATCCCCAGCTTTATAATAAATAAGTGTTCAGACATGGTCATCTAACATTAAGAGGATGCCAAATTCAAGTTTTATATTAAAAGAAGCTTACATAAGTATGATCTGGTATTTTCTTTAGTGCACTCTAGCCTAGATTGCTTTGAAACACACGTATAATTTGTTTCCCCATCTTAATTGTGTCTGAAGAAAGATCTAGGTAGTATAAGCAGAGACAACTGAGAAGAGAAATTCTTCTAAGAACCCATTTGCTCACAGTCTTTTCTGTGATCCTTGTTGCCTCTTTTTTCATGAGCACTTTGCTTTCAAAAATTTTGAAGTGTGTATAGAAGTGGATCACTTTTCTCTGTCCACTTCCCCTTCCTTATGTCCTGTTCATAAGTTTTTTTGACCTTGTTTACTTTGCATGTGTGTTGGTAGACACCTGCAATACAGATTAAGCAAGCTGTGTACAATTAAACTTTTTTTTTTCCTTTATGTAGGGATGTGGATTTGCCAGGTCTGTAGACCAAAGAAGAAAGGGAGAAAGCTACTTCATGAGAAAGCTGCCCAAATAAGGAGACGATATGCAAAACCTATTGGACGACCGAAAAATAAACTAAAGCAACGAATGTTGTAGGTTTCTCTTTATTTTTTTTTAATGTTTCTGAGAAGGTAGTTGCATAAGAGTTGATGCAGGTTCAGCTACGATTTTTAACTGTATTTCAAATTGGGGAAAGTAGCCAATGAATATTGTAGTATATGCCTTTCAGCCCAATGGCCAATAACATCTTAATTATAGTGGGTACTTTTTGTGCCGTATCAGAAGGTCATGAAAAAAAGTCCTGTAACTTACCTTTCTAGATCCTATAATTTTTTAAACTTGTACCTATAGCAGATGCAAATAAAAAAAGCCTCTGTGATAACATATGCTACAGCTATCTACTAAGTGTAATTTCAAATAATTGAAGTACATTCACAATCTATACTAAGTGGACAATAGTGAGTTACTTAAATCCAACTTAAGGAGATTGTTCTGCTCAAAGACCTGTTCAAAAGCTGTATAAGAAAGACTTTATTAGTTAATATCAGCTCACAAAACCCATTCCAAAAAGCAAACTATGCAAGTACTACAGAAGTTCTGGTTTCAGTGGTACTCTGGAAAAAATATTTCTT